GAGGGACAGCACAGGAGGGGAAGACCCTCTATGAGGTGGATTGATTGAGTGCCTGGGGTAATCAGGATGGGTGTGTCAGAGGCAGTGAGATTGGCACAGGATAGAGCACGGTTTAGGGCTATTGTACACAGGGTCGCTATGAGTCGCAAACGACTCGCGGCACATAACAACAACAAATGATGTCAGTTTGAGGACAAAGGTGCAGCTGATTCAGATCATGGTCTTTTCAGTCACTTACTACGCTCTTGAGAGCTGGAGACTGAGTAAGGATGATAGGAGAAGAATTGATGTCTTCGAACTGTGGTGATGGAGAAGATTGCTGAAGATCCCATGGACTATAAAAAGAGCAAATGTCTTCCTGAACATGCATCCAAGAGTGCTTCTTAGAGGCAAACATGATGAAGCTTTGCCTCATATACCTTGGGCATGTTGCTAGGAGAGGTTATTCCTTGGAGAGGGATATCATGCTTGAAAAAAGTGGAGTGGCGCCAAAAGAGATCTTCAATCAGGTAGCCTAACAAAGTGACTGCAGCAATGGGCTTGAATGTGTTGGAGATTGTGAGAAATGCATGGGATAAAACAATGTTCAGATCAGTTGTTTATAAGATTGCTGACTTGTACTTGATTAGACAGTATCTAACAACAACAACAAACATCACACTTGTGAAAAAGAAATCTGTAATCCACTGTATAAGGTCATTTTAATTTTGTTGTTATGTGCCATCAAGTCGCCTGCAACTCACAGTAACCCTGTATACAATAGCTCTGAGCCTTGTCCTATCCTGAGCCAGTCTCATTGACTCCAACACAGCAAGCCCCATTACCCCGGTTACTGGTTAATCTATCTCATCTCTCTTGTGTTGTCACCCACCCTTCTACGCATGATGTCCTTCTCCAAGGTCTAGTCCCTCCCAGCCACACGCTCCAAGTATGTGAGACAGAGCTTCAAAACTACTGCCTCCAAGGAGAAACTTGGTTTTACCTTCTTCAAGACAGACCTATTTGTTCTCTTGGCATCCATGGTGTGTTCAAGACTGTTCTCCAACAACTGCAAAACTATGGCCTGGATCAGGTACACCTTACTTCCTAGACTGACATCATTACACTCTAGCACTTTGGAGAGGTCCCTGACAGCAGACTTCCCCATTGCAATTTGTCTTTTGATTTCCTGACTGCTGATGCAAAGAGCATTGATTGTGGAGCTGAGCAACTGAAACTGTTAACAATCTTAATCTTCTCTCCATCTATCATGGTACTGCAAATTGGCCCAAGGGTGAGAATCTTTGTCTTCTTAATGTTCAACTTAAATCCATATTGAAGACTACAGTCCTTGACTTTCTGTAGCCAGCACTTCAGGTTCTCATGAGTTTCAGCAAGCAAGGTTGTGTCATCTGCATACTGCAGGTTGTTGACGAGTCTTCCTCCAAACCTGATGCCACATTCCTACTCAGAAAATGTTTACTTTCTAAAAATCTTAAAGACATTGGGTTGTTGTCATAATAATTTATTAGTTGTTTTTAAACTATGGCAATTAAAACAGTTGAACAAAATATACTAATAAATTTCTTTCTTAATATCAATCTTTCTCTAGATATTTTATTAAATTGAATGAAACAGATAAACAACATATACTACTGTAAAGCTACTGGTTCTCTCTCTCTCTCTACTGTTGTTAGATTCTGTTGAGTCAGAACAAACTCACAGGTCCAGTGGGTTTTCAGAGGCTGTAAATTACATGAAAACAGACTGTCCACTATTCTCTCACAGAGCAGGTGCTAGATTCAAACCTCCAGCCTTTGAGTTGGCAGCAAAACTCTACCACTCCCTCTGCTGTTGCTATGTTCTGTCAAGTTAGAACTGACCCTTGGCTGATCCTATCTAGCTGATTTTTCAGAGGCAGTAAATCATATACGAGGAGTGTGCTCATGTTCCTTCTGTGGAGCTGCTCGTAGATTCGAACTACATGCCTTTGCATTGGCAGAGAAATTCCTTACCACTAGGCCACCAGAGCTCCCTCTCTAGTACCTATTCCTGTTAACAATAATCAGTGAAATATTTTCTAGAGTGAAACCACTTAGAATCCCAAATTAATAATAAACAAATTCTAATAACCTAAAAGGAAGAAATAGCATTATGTGATATAAAACAAAACAAAAAAATCAACCCACAAACAACCACCACTAATCCCACTGCGGTTGAGTCCAATGTGACTTACAGCACACACCCAACCAGGACAGAGTAGAAGTGCCTCACAGGCGCTTCAAGTTTACAGGAGCAGGTTGCCTAATTTTACGCTGAGGAGTGGATGGTAGGTTCAAATCACTGACCTTCCAGTTAGCAGACAATGCTTAACCTACTATGTCACCAGCACTTCTGCATCTCATGAAGAGTATTATACTTAACCTGGAAACAATCAAATAACTTCAGTACATCCACTTCCTAAACAACATGCCTCCAGAAAGTATGATAAATGTCAATAGTTACAGAAAGGCTTCAGGCCTTTTGATCATAGGGTCACTATGAGTCATACTCGACTCGAAGGGAATCAACAACAACATTTTCAAAGTATATGTGAATGATTTTTAAAAGATGAGAAATAGTGAATTCAACATCGAATATAAAACTTTTAGAAATGAATGTTTATGGTAGGAAAAATGCTTGATGTCTGGTTGAATGAAAACAAAATTGAAGCAAAAACTCAATGATAAAACTACCTGGTCAAGTGTATGAATTGCTTCCTCTGAAGACTCAGAATCTGAGAGTTTAATTAAAGCTTCTGCTTTCAAATGAAGACAAAGATTCTTCTGAAGAATGCCACCAGACACACCAAGATTATCTAGGTTCTTCAAAGCTGATAAAATTAAGAACATATGAATGAAAGCAGCCACATAACTTCAATTTTTAAAAAGTATAATAGTATAGTTTACTAAAACAATATATATGAAGAATAAGTCAAGGCTAAATATAAATTCTCTCATGAATGCTTCCATGAAGGAATTGAATTTAAAACTCTATCTTCATATTATAAAACTGAACATCCTAAAAAAACAACAGTTATATCTATTTCACAATAAAGACTAGCTTTTAACTAAAGCATCTTTAAAAAGCATAGCAAATTAAGGATATAAAAAGGGGAAGAGGCTAAATTGGAGGAGATTATTGCCCATTCTCCCAGAAAGTAGCTGGTAGATTTGAACCACGTGCCACACGGATCGTAGAGCAGCTTCATACCACTAGGCCACCAGCGCTCCATTAAAATATTCACATTTCACCCTGCTCCATTCAAATGGGGTCTAAGAGGAGTAAGTATCCTTATTATATTAGAGAAATTACGAGAATTCAGTATGCGCTACATAAGTTTTTTGGTGCATAATTTCCCAATGTCACTCTTAACTGTTCATCCCAGAAAAGATATTTGATGCTATGATTTACTTTTCAACACTGTAGCACTGGTATACAATAAAAATGAAAACGAAACAGGAAAAAAAATGTTAGAACCAATTTATAAGACAGTATATCAGATTAGAACCTTGCCATACTTCAGGAACAACCTATATTCAATAAAACATCAAACAATTTGTATTGTTCAGTTTCTATTGTTGGCTTAATGATTTTTGTTATAACATTATGTATCAAAATTCCAAGTGTAGAAAACCATGAAATTAGTATCTTTCTTAGTTAAAAGTAAGATTGGCAGCCTGTATATAGAAACCCAAAAGGTGTCAAGTACCTTGATTGCATGAAAGAACAGCTTCCTTATATCTATGCATCTTGGCTTGCACTGCTGCCAGATGATACCATCCAGTTGTGCAAAGAGGGCTTTCCTTTAACCCTAAGGGGGAAAAAAGTCACACAGCTAGTTAGATGAGTACCACTAACTATACAAATCAGGCTTGTCTTTGGACTAAGTCACAAAGTCAAATTCATTTCACCTCAGATCCACTTTTAGTCACAAAGTCAGACCCATTTCACCTCAGATCCACTTTTAGTCACAAAGTCAGACCCATTTCACCTCAGATCCACTTTTCTTCATTCCTATCACTACCACCACTTTTCTCCATTTGTGTTGCCACCTTTTCAGTTCACACATCCATCATGGGTAGACAGGGCTGGGATCCTAGCACCTTATCCCAAGAACTGGAAGTCATCCATTCCAATTTATTCTTTCTACTGTAGCCACAGTATCTCTAAAAACAGAACTCAGACTATATATTTTCTTCCTTAAAACCTTTTTCATCCCCACTGTCCTGAAAATAAAGTTTAAATCCCTCAACAAACTTTCAGGGCTCCTCAAGCCACACCTTGCTCCCTCTGGTCTCCTTACTTCATGGTCCAATCTGGCTGAACGATCTGCAGCACCAGCTTTGCTCTGATCTCAAGCTTCTTCTCTTAGCGTCTCATCTTTCCCCTTAATCATCTAATTTTTTTTTATCAGATTTCAGTTTAAATGTAGGCCATCCAGAAACCTCAAAATTAAAGAGATTTTGTTAAGACAAGAGGCTGATGTAGCATCTTATGGTTTCTCCATGTTAACATTCATCATTTATATTCTGCTTGCCAACTGATGCTGCCATAATGTTGCGGAAAAACTAGAGAGAGCAATCATTGAAGTGAGCCTTGAATGAGACACAAACACACACACCAAAATAATGAAAGGGGAGAAACGGCTGTTTCCTACTGATTGAAAGTAATATGTAAGATATGTGATGAGTGAATCACTGAAAATAACTGATGTAGAAAGGAATTTATATTTCCATTTCTTAGTGAGTTGGCCTCTCTATTCTCTGACACCAGCACTAAATCTGATACCTGGTATGTGAACAGTACAATTTGTGCATTCAGTGTACTAAAGGTCATTTATTTGAAAAACAAAAAATGCATTTTTACTTCTAAAGCTTTTCTCAATATATCAAATCGGTGAAAGAATAAAAACGCAAATAAACAAAATGCCACTGTTGTTAATATTTGCTACAATAAAAAAATTAAAAATAATATAGATTCTGTAATGCTATTCTTTAATCTTTTAACACTGTTCTTGCTATTGTTATGTGCCATCGAGTCGCTTGCGACTCATAGCGACCCTATGTCCTAAACCGTTCTCTTTCCTGTGCCAATCGCACTGCCTCTGACACAGCCATCCCGATTACCCCAGTCACTGAATCAATCCATCTCATAGAGGGTCTTCCCCTTCTGCGCCATCCCTCCATCCTCCCAAGCATGATGTCCCTCTCGAAGGACCTCTCCCTCCTTACAGCATGTCCAACATATGTCAGACGAAG